CCACGAAAATACTCCTCTCATCTCTTTAACTCTCACCTCCACTCTCCCGTCTCTGGTCTCTCCTCTCCTCTTTTACCCCATGAAAATATCCTTTTTTCGAAATGAGTTCACATTCAGCGCAAAAATTCCGCGGCGAACGGGCCTTCACTCGACCTAACGTCCTCCAATCCACTGTTATTTCTCCCATTTACCCGTAACATTATTTAATTTTCTCCTGCACACAGAAGAGAAGTAAATAAAAACTAGCTTTGATCAGTCATGTGGATTTAACAATTGTAAAGGTTTTGCACTCTGTCATTTAAATATCCCGATACATGTGTTTGTGGGGGGTGGGATTTATAAATAGCATTCAATTTTTCCTTGTACATTGATCACTAAGGTGACATTCTAGTTACTATTCTGGTCCAGAATAGTGGATAATAACTGGTCTTTTAAGAATGACTGTTAACACTCGTGAAAAAGTTATTGTTCTTCTGTGAAGCAGAAACTAGCGGAATATTCGACAGCGGAAAATTCTATTCAGAACATTTTTGCAAGTGCACGGAGAGAATTTATAATTCGATTTACCTTAAAAATAATTTAATAATTAGTAAAAAATAATTTCAGTAGCGAGGTGGTAAAACGATACAAGTCAATTTTGACTATTGACCGGTTTTCAATGAATATCTCGGAATCTAAGGCAGATAGCAAAATTGTTATTATGACCTTTTTTGTAGAGCCGATTGAGTACTACAATAAATGTAATTACGAAAATTTCGCTATCTCTCTTAGATTCGGAAATATTCCTCAAAAAGTCAACTGGGAGATGAGTCGACTCAAACCGTTTTACCACTTCGCTACTGATTTATACTTTTTCCGTGTGAAAATGAGTTTGCTCACGACTTAAAAATATTTTTACAGTTCTAGATTCGTTTAAATTAAATTTTTATTATCACTAAGGTGACATTCTAGTTGCAAAAGTCATTATTTCCCTGTGACGGTGAAACCAGCGGAATATTCGATGGCAGAAAATTTTATTTAGAAAATTTTTGAGGGTTTATGGGCCAAATAATCATATGAGGAAAATTTTTGCAAGTGCGCGGAGAGAAATTGAAAATTCGATTTACCTTAAAAATAATTTAATATTTAGGAAAAAATATTTTATACTTTTTCTGTGTGAAGACGAGTTTTCTCATGACTTCAAAACATTTATGCATCCCTAGATTCGCCTAAATCAAATTTTTCGTTAGTTTCAGGTTTATTATTCCCTTTTCGTTTCCAACATTTTCAGAAATAAACTAAACTAAAATGTAAAATTCCTCAAGCCTCATAATATTTACTATCATCACACATAGCATTCGTGCCCTATTTATATTTTATAAGTTATTATTCTAGTCTAGAATCATGGATGATAACTGTTCTCATAAAAACGACCATTAACACTCGTGTAAAGTTAATAATTCCCCATAGAATGTATTTAGAAGATTTCTGAGGGTTTAAGGTATATCCCGAGACAGTACCATCCAAAAGTTAGTCCCTATGAATTAATTCCAAAAGTTAGTCCTTTCAGAAGAAATTCTAAATGAATTAATTTATTGCATCCTCATATGTTGTTGACGAAGGCAACAATAATTTGTTGATTCAAATAAGAAATTATTTGTTAATTAATTTTTTTAATCAAATAAGAAACAATTTCACAATATTTCCATTTTCAAAGTTGAATATCGCAGAAACTATGTACTATAAAATTTTATAAAAAAATCATCGCATTCTGAATTTATCATTCTACTACGGATTAGTTTTTCGAGGTGAGACCGCGGTGAAATTTAAGTCTTCGCTCGCCTCGAGTTTTAAGTAGAATTCAAGGAAATCCATGAGTTTTCAGGGAAATGAGGCGGAAATTTTATAACCTGACTGAATTTTCAATGGAACATAAATATTCAGAAACTAAATAACATGAATTTTCAATTTTTCCCTGAATTTTCCTGATTTTTCCGAATTTTCACGGAACGGTTGCACTGTTACAAATTTTCCACTGAAATTTCAAGGAATTTTGTCATTAAAAATTCATAATTTCATCGAAAAATCCGCGAGAACTGTAAATTTCAGTTTAATTATTCCGGGGAGATGAATGGAAAATCAGAAAAATTCAGAGAAATCTCTCCTTGAATTCCCGCTTCCTCTGAATTTTCAGGCAGTTCCTTCAAAAACTCTTGGAATTCCAGGAATTTCAAAGGATTTCCCTGAAAATTCGAGGGAATTCGGCAGTGAATATTCATTTCCACTTAAAAATTAATGTAAATGATAAAATTTCCATGTGCCTGTCGCTAAAAAAATGCAACTTTACTTAAATTTTCAGAAACAACCTGAAATTCCATTGAGTTCTTAAATCGAATTCAAGGTCTCTTTCCGGAAAATTCAATCAAATTTTCCTAACAGTGTAAACCGAAAAATCAAACATTTTATTGATTTCCGATCATTCCACCAAAAAATCAACGGAAACCTCAACTTTTCAATGACAAAATTTCCCGAACTTTTACTGAAAATTAATCACGATAAAATTTACCGAATTTCCGCAAAAAATTCAGAAAAAAATTGTTAACACTGCAGTTCAATTTTCCCTATATCCCCCTCACTCCGCCCACTTTCAAAAATACCCCAAACTATAATATAAAATTCCTGAATCCCCCCACAATATTTACTCTCATCACACCCAGCATTCATGCACTATTTCTATTTTATCTGCCGTATTCACATGCCGCCGGTATGCAAACACCTTGAACAGATAACGCCGGATATATTCTCGGTGCTCTTCTTCATTTCATTCGCAAACATAATCAAGCCGTATGTACATTGTGAGGCATTTAAATATGAAGAGCCATAAATGGGGATGACGAGTAATCGCTCGATAATCGAAATAATTAGCCGAAAAAAAAACTCCGCGCATAATTGGATGTCAAACATTAACTGGAGATGCCCTAAACCGGTATAAACGAGAGGGTGATGCACGTGGACGTGTCACAAGCAGCTCATGTCGTTGAATGGCTTACAAAACATTGGAAACGTCAAGAGAATGAAGAGAGCCAGGGAAATATGTATGCGTTTAACGCATACACAAAAGTTTAATCCGTTGGTATGTGTATCCTATGTCGGGACATGCGAGAAGCACCAGCATAGACAGCTATCGCGTTGCCTCTACCCGCGGATCAATATTCCGTCCGGTCCATCCTCTGACCCATATCTCCCATCTTTTACCTACCCCACGCTTCGCGCTTATCAATTCTTAATTGTTGATTCATTTCGTTTTATTTATTTATCCAGTTGAACTCCATTTCCATTCGCCCCTTTTTTTTCATTATTCATCGCTTAATTTTGTTAATTTAACCATTTTATGCGGACAATTGTGCGCTTGCGATGAATTTTTTGGATTAAAATCGCTTTGAAGATGATGAATTCAGCGGTAAATGTCGGCTCACCCGAATATCTCGGGAATCACGAATTATTTATGATTCATAATTCAAACTCAAGCCGAAAATTCAGAGGTAATACGTTCACTGTTGTCGTAAAGTTTGGGGAAAAGTTAGCCGTGGAGCTTTTCAAGTCGTAAGGCTGCCACCTGTCGGAACTCTTATCGAACGCCCGCCGTGAATTTCATCTGAAAATACGACTTACCACGAGGGGGAATGATACAACGAGTGGTGACAGAGCGCAACTGACTGGCCGACCGCCAATCCGAATGATCGTTTTGTATCAATTATGTTGTCATGTGCGGTACAAATAAAAACATTGGGCGGTGGGTTTTTGTCACTGAGAAATTGGGGTAAGGCTGGGAGGTAGTTTACACGTGAGGGAGTTGGTTGAGGGGGAGAAGTTCATTTGTTAATTTAGGAAATACGATTTTTCGTTTTTTTTTTTGCGAAAACAAAACATCTTTAAGGGCTTTTTTGCTCGGGGAGTTGTTTTTAATGATGATTTTTTTTTCGTTGAAAACAACAAAAATTTGAATGTAGAACTCTCAAATAGGTTTTGGTATCGGTTGAAATGACAAGGAATTGGTATTTTAAGTTATTCTTGGCTGCCGATTCGAATGATCGTTTTGTCTCAATTTTTAATTTATGAAATATGATTTTTTATTATTTTTTTGCGAAAACAAAACACCTTTGAGGGCTTGTTTGAAGGGGTTGCTATGTTTTTTTGCTTCGGGGAGTATTTTTTAACAATTTTTGTTCGTTAAAAACAAAAATTTGAATTTTCAAGCCTCAAATGCACTGTTGGAAATTTTTTGAAAATTACGTAATAGTTGCACTTGAATTCTCAATATTGTGAATTTGAATTCAATTTAAGATCAAATCGTTGGTGGAATCTCCCATTCAGGTGGGAAATTCAAAATAATTGGGTTTTTCATGTTAGATTGTCACTGATATTTCAATGAGATTTAGTATTTTCAAATTCATTGCGAAAATTGAATATCACATCCGATAGTTCCACTGAATTTTCAAGGAACCTCAGCATGGAAAAATCACAATTTCACGGAAGAATAAATAGAAATTTTAAATTTCAGATAAATTATTCGATGAAAATGAATCTAAATAAGGCGAGTTCAGATGAATATATCCATTCATTCTCGATGAATTGAAAATTCGGTGTAATTTGGTACAGAAGTTCATGTTGTCCATCGAAAATTCAACCTAGTTTCGAAATTCTCGTCTTCCTGTCACCCAAAAATTTGTAATATCCTTAAACTTTCAGCTGAAAGAGAAATTTCATGACTTTCCCCCCTAAATTGAATCTAACGTCACTCCTAAGAATTCCTAGTCAACTGTACATGAAATACGACTATTTTTCTGACAATCTAATCCTCCTCATCCGAATGTCAACAAATTTGGCCGTCACACCCATGCACACCACAATCACTCCCCACCAACACATCTGTAATATTTCTCTCTGCAAACTATATTTCAAACCGTTCGACAAGCGAATGTATATAAACCCACAACAGAGAGTGTCGCCAGTCAGTTTTACCGCGTCCTTAGGGCCCTAAAAATCGGTCTTAGTCCTCTCGAAAACCGTTCACCTCGTCCAGACTACCCCCAACCTTAATTGAATTAAAATTCCCTTCGCGTTTTACGATAATGGCCTATCGCCAGGTGCCCACCGACCTCATGGAGGAGTCCCCGATGAGGCCAGTGAAGAAGAAACCCTCGAAATCCTCTCCGTCATCAGAAGACCCCAGCGCAATGGATCGTCCTACGCCAGGACGCCATCTTGTCGACATGTCCCCCTTCACATTCAAGTCCTTTCTGACTCCTCGAAGAAACTCAAGGTTCGAGGAGAAGATGAGTCCCTCTATGGAGATGCTGATCAAGCGACTCAACACCCTGAGTCTGAAGACTCCGGTGCCGACTCCGCAGAAAGCTGAGAACATGGACGGCAGTTTCATCGAGCAGACGCCAGAAGACCTGGACACAAGCCGCGTAAATTCGATCAGAAGTGCCTTGAGAAGACGTTTGTCAGGTGTCCCTGGTGACCAACGTGATCAGAAAACCATTGATACTGACGCCTTGAAGCAAGCGTTAGAGCGCGAACACCAGAGATGCCTGAATTCTAGCATAGACCTCGAGAATATCGATTTAAATAAATTATTCATGGAGGAGTCTTCGGATTATTTGGTGAGAGATGAAGGCATTCGAAAGCCAAGAGATTTGGCCAAGGACTTCGTCAACGAAGATGATGAATCGCCTCTCCCAGAGGTCGAGAAGCCTCTGCAATGCCTGGCGCTTGCTGAGGACGTCTCAGAGTTGGACAGAAGTCTTCACGCTGTCTCGGAGGTTGTGTTCTGGTTAGCTGTGAGCAACAAGAACCTGCAGGAGGAGAGGAGAAAGTATCCTCGAGGTCGAGGCCCGGAAGAATCTATTGATCTTGGTGAGGACATACTGAGGACCGCTGTCGAGGAGAACGTCGGCCATCTCGTCACGAAGGAGCAGAGGGAAATGGTGGAGCAGAGTTTCTTAAGAGAACTGTACACCGAATTTGGATCGAAGGAGGGAGTCGACGATACTTCTAGGTGGAGTATCATGCCTGAGGTGGGAACTCCTCCTACTGAGGAGAAGGATGAGAAGGGTGAGATCTCCAGAATTGGGGAGAAAACCCCTGGAGAGGCAATTGCCAGGAACAGGAATTTGAATGTTACAAAGCTTCGGGAGAATGAGATGGAGTTCACACCGCCTGTCAGCTCAACCATCATCTCTAAGGAGGATGAGGAACCTGTGGCTTCTACCAGCAAAGCTACGGAGTTGATTCAACCGTTCGATATTAAGGAAGAGTCACCTGTTATTTTGGAGACGTCGCAGGATCTGATGCAGTTCACGCCGGATCCAAGCGCGTCCGCTAATGCTCTTGATTTGAGCTTTTTGGAGGACCCCAATGATGACTCTGTTGTCGAAGTGGCTGCGACCTCTATGTACTACGATTGTCAGGATGATCTTAATGAGACTATTGATCTCTGCAGTCCTCTGAGTAAAATCAGCAGTCCTGCAAGGGTCAATTCAGTGTCGAAGAAGAAGAATATATCTCCGAGGACCAGGATTCTGTTGAATCGACCTAAACAGTCGCACAAGAAGGTCTCCAATTATGTCAGACCTCAAGGTGTTGATCGTTGGATTCTATTTGTTGATATTATGAATCGTTTTCGTGCTGATGATCTTTTGGAGATGATGAATATTGAGTTAAGGTGCATTGATTGTTGGGGTAGATTTTTAATGTTTTGGTTTTACTTTTGCAGGTGTGCCATTTCCACCATCACACAAGCTGACAGTGGCTGAGGTGTTTGATGCACGGACTGGTAGACCACGTCCCGATGTCCTCAAACATCACTTCATCCTTGAGGGGAGAATCGATGAGGCAGCAGCACTACGTATTGTCAATGACGGTGCTGCACTTCTACGATCGGAGAAGACTATGATCGACATCGAAGCTCCAGTCACAGGTGAGAAATAGAAAAATAATTTTAAAAAAACGATCTAGGTAATGCGAGGGCTGATTTAGATGAAGAGGTAATGGAGTGTTGATCCGAATTTTTTAAAATTCAGTTTGCTGAGAAAATTGTTGGAAATTGTTTCATAATTAATAATTGATGATTAATAATTAATCAATTTTTTGCGAAATCTTCATCATTCCGTGAGTGTCAGCGAAAAATGTCTGATATTTAACATTAAATGGTGAAAAGATTTTTTTTAAATTCTAATGAATTAATAATTTACAAATTTTACTAACATAAAATTTAAAAAAAATTATAGCAAAATGTCTGATATTTAACGTCAATGTTGGAAAGATTTCTAAAAAAAGGGAAATTGTTAAAGTGATTGGATATCCTCTGGGTTGACCCATTTACCTCCATCGAGATTCATTAGCAAGGGAATGCACATGTTCCAAGGTTCATTCATGTCACCGTGACCATCATACTCATACCTCACCTTTTTCTTCGCGATTATAATCGTTCGATCGATTTATCGGGATGCAAATGAGGGCTGCACCTCTTGCACGGTGAGTGAATTCGGTCCAGTACCCTTGGCATCATGCTGATGAACAAATGAAGCGCTATATCATGCCTCGATTATCCTCTCTTCAATCAATGGAGAATCAGAGGTGGAATTGATGCCCTTTTTTCGCATTTCGGGGGTAATAACAGGGATGATTATTCGTTAATTGATGATGGATAGGTCGTAAATAGATAACTATTCTCTGGTTTTTTGAGAGTGGGAAAAATAGAAAATTGGTAAAGCAAATGAGATTTTTGTTGACAGATGAATTTCCGTGGAAAATCCAGATAAAAAATTGCTCAAGCAGATGAATCGAGGGTTTACTTATGCATAAAGCGAAAACATTTATTCAATTGTTGGAATCATTGCCATTTATTTGAGGGTTCGATGTAATAAAATTATTCTCCATTTTCATATTCATTGGAGTAATTGAAAAATGAAATAAAATAGGAAATACTGCGATGATTATTCGTTAATTGATGATGGATAACTCTGTTTTCTTCATGAATAAATAAATTTATTCTCTAGTTTTTTGGGAGTGGGAATCGATGTGGAACTGATTACTCTGACGATAGAACAAATATTTATCCAAAACTTTGTAAATTTCGATTTTTGTTGACTCTAGGTGAATTTCTCTGTGGAAAATGCAGATAAAAAATTGCTAAAGCAAATGATAAATTGAGGGTTTATTCATTTATAAAGCGAGAATATTTATTGAATTGTTGGATTTATTTCTATTTATTTGAGTTTTCGGTGTGAAAAAATTATTCTCCCTTTTCAAATTTATTAGAATAATTGAAAAATAAAATAAACAGGAAATACTGGGATAATCCCAGTATTGTTAGTAAAAAATTGCTAAAGCAAATGATGAATTGAGTGTTTATTCATGCATAAAGCGAGAATTTTATTGAATTATTCGAATCATTTCTATTTATTTGAGCTTTCGGTGCAAAAATATTATCCTCTCTTTACACATTCATTGGAGTAATTGAAATAATAAAATAAAATAGAAAGTTCTGGGATGATTATTTGTTCATTGATGATGGGTAACTCTGTTTTCTTCATGAATACATAAATTAATTCTCTAGTTTTTTGAGAGTGGGAATCGCTGTGGAACTGATAACTCCGATGTTAGAACAAATATTTATTCAAAACTTCATAAATTCCGATTTTTGTTGACTCCAGATAAATTTTTCTGTGGAAAATGCAGATAAAAATTGGTAAAACAAATTATAAATTCAGGGTTTATTCATGCATAAAGCGTTAATATTCATTTAATTACTGAAATAATTTCTATTTATTTGAAGTTTTCATAGTGGAAATTGCTCAGAGTTGGACAAAAAACGAAAAAAAAAAATACGATTGCATTTAAAAATAATTGTTATTCAGTCGATCAAAATAATTAACTGAAAGAAAAATAATATCTTCATTGAATACATTCATAAATCACCTGAATTTGAGACTGAATTATTTAATCAATTCGTTCAGAATTTCTTTTTTTGTTCTTATTGAGAGGACGAGGGAGAAGTCTTTTCCACCCTAACAGAATTCTTGACGAGCTAAGCCTGTAGACACGTACAATCACCTGAATAAACAGACGGTAGTTCGGTTCATCTTGTTGAAAAAAAAAGGGATGAAAAATGTGGTCACGCGCTTCGTTCCTTCCACTCTCCCTCAGTCAACTTCATTTCTCGTTCACCCTCCTTCGCGATGAAAACTTTGTGGATGTGTGTGTGCTGCACAATGTTCCTCACCACTCTGTACTGAAGAAAGTGGAGTAAGGGCTCTCGATTGGCTTTGTGGGAGATGAAAAAACAGCCTCTGGTCTTACCCTTCAGACAGAATGAACAAGTGCAATAAATGGAGAATCTATCAGCTGAAAATACAACTGCATTTATTGCTTTCCAAAGTAATGAGATATTTTTTTATTCAAAAGACAATTTTTTTTCACGATTCCCTGAACCAAGTGCAGTTAATTATTTGAAGTGGTGAAAAATTGATTTAAATGCTTCATTTTTCAGTTGAAAAAACAAATTGCCCTGGGAGGAAATTATTTATTTAAGGATGATTTTTTCTCAACAATTCCCTGAAATAATTCCAGTGATTTATGATGAAATAATTTCAAAATTGTTTTTTGAAGATAACGAGCATTTTCTATAAATAATTTATGATTTATAAAGAGTCAATTTTATGCTATAAACATCATTTGTTTGCAATCGTAACAAATTTATTCATGTTCAGAATTTTTAAATCCATTTAATGCTTAAAAACTGAACTTTTCGAAAGTTTGAACAATTTCAGTTATTTATTTATAAACAAAGAATGTTTAAAACATAATAATTCTCTGCAAAATGTAACTTAAATGATGCTGAATATTCATGATTGTTTTCGATTTTTTCTTACGCAATTTAATTTAAAAATTTGATAATTGAAAAAGGTTTAATCTATAGTGTTCCCGGACATTTAACAATGATTTTATTATTTAAACTTTGCATGTCTGAATTTGAATCTCGATATCAAACCGTTAGAAAACATTTTAAAAATCTGAAAAAAATTAGAAAGTTAACTTTCGGGGGAAATTGATGAAATAATTAAAAATCGCATTTTTTAAAATTATGAGCATCTTATAAATAATTTATAAATAATCAATTTTCCACCACATAAAACATTTATTCGTAATCGTAACAAAAATTATTAAATCATTAAATCATAACAAATAATTCAATTTTTATATTACAATAATAATTTTTATTTATTTAAATAATAAATATAATATTATCTTAATAATAACAATTTATTTTTATAATAACATATTTTATTTATTCAAATTATTTATTTATCAATTCCATTAAAATTTCCTGAAATACCGCGCCCGAAAATACCGTTTTCCACCCATACAAAATAAAATAACAATTGTCCCCACTCTCGCCCCCACCGTATGACCCCCAACGGACCTATATCGTATCCCCGCCGTAATAATCTTGTTTCGATCTCGCGAGTTGAGGCCCATGGGTTACATTAAATCAGCACGCAAGGGTACATGCGCTTTCTCAATCTCAAGATGTTGGGTCCACACGAAAGATAACGTCCTTAAACACGAAACACCCCGTATCCCACGCCATACGTTCGCGTCCGGAGTTTTTTTTTTTCACCTCTTCATTTCATTCTCCGCGAGATAAAAAAAAGCATTAATAATTTTCACGGCGGAGAGCTTCAATGGATTATTCAATACTCCAGCTTATCTACATTGTAGAATGTGTCTTGCTGGCACACACGTGGCAACGATCGATTTTCCATGCATGTATGAAGGAAAGGGACTCTGAACTGCTCATTCTCCTTTTATTCAATTCAACGCGTTGTATTCCGCGGCACTAAACACGCTCATCAATGCAGCCGGTGTATTTGGTCATGTTTCAGCTGTAGATGTGGAATGATCGTCATTTTCCCTTTCGGTCAGGTCAAACGTGAATGACCGGTTTCTGACCGTCACAGTTAACCCTAGTCTGGTCACCAAACGCGACCCTGCGACTTGGTCACCTCCACGGGGATTCCCCGCCGCGTTATTCAGGCTTCAGCGTTGCCGAATTCACTCTACATTGTTCGGGCGCGTTCAGCGAGTTTCCGGCAACGTCGCGTCATGGGCTATTTCATTTAACACGCACGGACGGAAATATTCAGTGAAAATTACGAAACTCACAATTCGCTCACCAATTACGGAATCGACTAAGAAAATTTAAGTGAGTATCGTAATTTTTTCACAGGAGATTCATATAAAAATTACGGAACGCGCGGGAAAAATTCCGTGACAGTTCCGTAAAATTTCCTGCAACGACATTTCGCTCCGGAATTACGGAAAAGATACGCAATTTTTATTGAATTTTTTTCTCCGTGTGGAAAAAAATAATTCATCTGTCAGACATAATTTGTTTTTTTTTTAGGAATTTCGGGAAATATGTTGTTCTAAAAACTACTATAATTTTTTAGACCCTTCAATTAACAAAGTCAAATTTTTTATAATTTTTCCGGTTAGTCAAACAATTGCAATTAACGAAAAATGACGCACGGTAGGGTTTCTCTCGTAAGGGACCAATCTAGGGTTAAGGGGCCACTATTATGAGTTTTAAAAGTCGCGGGCGATTAGAGTGAGATTTCTCATACATTGAAGAGCGATTATATATGTCTAAAAACGAATAATTTGTAATATTTTTATGTGTTTGTTTAGGTAATTGATATTCTATTTCGTGAAATCAGATGAATTGAACATTATATTATTTACCTTAACTATTTATTTGAATATTCCAAATGAGGAGGTCACAATATTCTAGTTCGCTTTTGATACTTTTGTCCCAAATAAATTCTTATTTTATATTTTCAATATTACGCAATTTGATTATATTACGCAATACAAAAATTTATATTCCTTAATTCTTAACGAGAGAAACTATTATGGGAAATGAATAAATAAATATAATTTGCTCAATTCTTCCAAATACAATTAAATGGACAAATACAAAGAGCAATGAGTAAACGAACCGTGCACGGTAAAAGTCGGGAAGCAAGGGAGCAAGTTCAGTTGAGTAAAGTGCGAAGTGACTCGCCAAATCACGAGCGCCACATTTGGAGAAATTAATAAATTCTTTCACTCGTCCAGGTCAATTGACGCGGGACATTCAAAGGACAATTGAACTGTTACAAATTAGTGCAAAAAAATGTATTGTTTATTTTTCGTTTGGTCCGCGGACGAACGATAAATTACGGAATAAATTAAGGAATTCTCAATTTTCAGGAAACCTGAAACCTGAAATTTGAGATTTTTTCTAACATCGTGACGGTGGTCATTGACGGTCATTTGACCGATTATACCTGTCACTCACATCTCTAGTTTCAACGTGTTCGTCAGATGTGTCCGACGCTGTGAGTGGAGGGGGAGGAGGCGGTATACAAAATTAATTTAGCACGACAACAGCTATTTCCCGGTGATAATGTAATTGGTCGGTAGGAATAATAGGTAATGGCGTTTGTTGTTCTTTGGGGAGCATTCGGAATGTCATAAATGATGTTCGTCGTGTCCTTCGGGTTCAATCGATTATTACCGAATGGAAATTATCTTTTGCTGTGTTTGTTTGTTTGTCGTGCATGAAAAAGTCACTTGGCTGAACATTTTCGATGTTATACTTTGAGAAGTTGGATGTGCTGGTCTGTATTTACGGAAAGTTTCGTTGACTTATTGTCTTTGTAGTCGGAGTAAACAGTTCGGTTCATGTTTTTATCGAGAGCCAGGGGAAACTCATAAATGAGTCTTGGTAAATCGCCGATATCTCGAGAACAAATGATGGGATTTGGACTAGTCAAAGCTCATTTTCAAGGCCGGAAAAGTACCTTTAAAATGAAAAAAAATCGATGAATTTCACTCTGCCGATCTCGAGTTAATGAAAATTGAAGACAGACCTTTCTGTTAAGTCTTCTTCCATCACTTCACTTCTTCCTTTTTCATAAATGGTTATTTGTCTTCTAAACGGTTGGTTTTAGGTGAAAATGTCGTAAGACACTTTTTGTGGAGAATTAAATTTCCGACAAAAAATGTTCTGTTACATTTTCTCGTAGGACCTTTCGTTGCGGAGATAATCGCCGATGAATGGGACTGAAAATGATAATCTTGGATTTTCACCCAATTACGTTCTTCGTGTTGCACTTTTCAAGTTACGCTTTATTTCCAACAATTGCATATTTCACAACTCGCCTGCAAACTGTTTCATTCATCGACCCATCGTCACCTGCATGCAAATCCATCGATCTGACGTGTGGACCCCTTATCAGTCCTCGTTCCCATGTTTTTTTTTCTTTTTTCAACATTATGAGAGCCAAATGATGTTCATCGTAGCTCCGTCTCAATGGATATGGATACCTTCAACTCGTAAAATATTTATCATCCAGGAAGATGCATCAGCCCTTTGTTCCATAATTCCTGGCAATATTATTACCATCACTAACTTATCATTTACGACAAATGGCCTGGTTTCCCCGGAAGTTATGGCGTATTGCACTTCGCATCAACTCGATATTGTGGCTGAGTATCACCATCAAACCCACCGAACTATGGAGTACATTGAAGTGCTTCGAGAAGTTAACGTCAATGATCCAATAGCCATGAGGACTTTCTATACGCGCGATGTAATTGAAATGATGCCGCAATTGACGGAACATTAGAGAGTGAAAAATTCGATTTAGGGGATTTTTTAGGGTTTGGGGGTCGAACAATTATAGGAGCCAATTTTATTCCTGTGCGAAGAAATTTACTCATGACTTAAAAATGTTTCAACCCCCCTAGATTCCCCTAAATCGCATCTTCCACTGGCGCATCTCTCTCTAGGGGAATCTTCGTCGCCGAAAAATTCAATCCAGGGGATTTTTGCGGATTAAAATAATCGTATGAACTAATTTTATTCAAGTGCGAACGAGTGCACTCCCAACTTAAAAATGTTTCAACCCCCCTAGATCCCCCTAAATCGCATATTCCCCTGGGAAATCTCTGGGCATTTTCGTCACCGATAAATTCAATCCAGGGAATTTCTGCGGCTTCAAACAATCGCCTGAACTAATTTTATTCAAATGCGAACGAGTTCAACCCCTCTAGATTCCCCTAAATCGTATCTTCCACTGGCGAATCTCTCTAGGAGAATCTTCGTCACCAAAAAACTCAATCCAGGGAATTTTTGCGGCTTCAAACAATCCGCTTAACTAATTTTATTCAAGTCCGAACGAGCCCACTCCAAACTTAAAAACGTTTCAACCCCCCTAGATTCCCCTAAATCGCATCTTCCGCTAGCGAATCTCTCTCTAGGAGAACATTCGTCACCGAGAAATTCAATTTCGGGAATTTTTGAGCATTCAAGCCTCAAACAATCGTATAAATAAATTTTATTCAACTGCGAATGAGTTTATTCATGACTTAAAAATATTTCAACCCCCCTAGATTTCCCTAAATCGCATCTTCCACTGGCAAATCTCTCTCCAGGGGAATCTCCGCCACCGAAAAATTCAATCCAGGGATTTTTTGCGGCTTCAAACAATCGCCTGAACTAATTTTATTCAAATGCGAACGAGTTCAACTCCCCTAGATTCCCCTAAATCGCATCTTCCACTGGTGAATCTCTCTAAGAGAATCTTCGTCACCGAAAAACTCAATCCATGGATTTTTTGCGGTTTCAAACAATCCCCTGAACTAATTTTATTCAAGTCCGAACGAGTCCACTCCAAACTTGAAAATGTTTCAACCCCCCTAGAACCCCCTAAATCGAATTTTCCGCTGGCGAATCGTTCACCAGTTTCAGCTGCACCCAATTGAGGGAGGGAAAATAATGCACCGAGTTCGGTAATTGGGAATTAGGGATAATGATGATTGGATCACATGGGCTGGGATGATTGTATGCTTTTCAAGTGGTGGCCATTTAATTATTTTTTCATTCAGGCTTTATTTGGACAGGGGAGTCCTCTGATTGCATTAAATGCCCCAGTGATACACGAGATTGCTTATTGGATTGTAGACGCCTCTGAGGCGTCACAGGCGTTCAATTAACGTTAACGCTGGCGCCGGATGTGTCGCTGGTCTCACAGGGGCCACGGTTTATCTTCTCATTGCTATTGATTTATAAGCATTGTAGTCGGTTCCATATACCGATTTTTACGGGAAATAAATCTCTAGGGGGGGGGGAGGAGGGGTAAGTAT